ATCCTTAATGCATTCACATTCGATTACGGAATTTCAATATAAAAAAATAAAAATTTCAACACAAGAATTTTTTAAAATTCGATACCTTATAATGAGTCATTCGATGATAATATAGATTTGATGAAGCTGTGAAACGTTTCCCGCAAATGGGACACTCGTGAGGTCGTTCTCCCGTATGGATTCGTACGTGTGTATTTAAAGAGCTACTTGTGCTAAACATTTTTCCACAAACAACGCAACCGTGCGGTTTTTCACCTGTTAATGTGTACATATAATTTAGGTATCACTGTATTATTTTAGAAGAGAATACGAATTCGATTACACGCGATTTAAATAGACTTGCCTGTGTGGATGCGTAGGTGTCGTTTGAGCAAGGATGGTCTGTCGAAATTTTTCCCGCACGTTCCACACGGTAAACATTTTTGAAACTTCGACGAATCGAATAAATTTGTTTCCTTTTTCGAGCCCCAGCGGCTCAAATCCAAAGGCGCGTCTTGCTCCACGCCGCATGCTACACATTTTAATATTCATAATAAAAAAAATTTCTATTTAAATAATTAGAATAATATTTAATTTTAAATAACATTTCTCTTCTGCAGTATTTACCACTGCCAAATATGTCTCTACCGACAGTAACACCGAAAGGAGATTATGGTTCGATTCTCCTGACTCCGGTGTTAAAATTAATGGACAATCTAGGTCGAAAATTGTTCGGAACTGTCTTTTCCGAAAAAAGCGAGCCACAAACTTTCGAAGCGCTTGGACTACCTCACTGGTTGGTGCTATACGAGACTGACCTAATCAGCAACTATACGGATCCTGCGATTTTACACGCAGTAGTTCGAGACAGAGCATTGGTTTATGTCGATAATTACCAAGTTGGCGTCTTAAGTCGTACGAGCAAAGCGTATGATTTATGGTTCGAAATGCCTTATTCAAAAAAATTACAAATATTGGTCGAAAATCAAGGAAGATTGAACTTTGGGAAGGGAATTCACGATTTTAAGGTCAGTCATCAAATTACTCCCAAATCGAATCTAAAAAAAACTGATATAAGAAAGACGTTATAAAAAAAAAACAAGAACAGCTCATGCAAAATATTTAAATGTTTAATCTGTCATGTATTTTTTGTATATAATAGGGAATCTCGAATGTGACTTTAAATGGCGCTCCACTCGGTCCCTGGAGAATGAGTGGTTTCCGTCTGGACAATATCGACGCACTTCGCAACGTCCAACCCGTGGCGATAAATGAAACCGGGATTCTTCGCAACAGTCCCGTTGTCCTTCGAGGATCCTTTTCTATCTCTGGCCAACCGATGGACACGTATTTAAATACTGCTAACTGGGGCAAAGGGGTTGCTTTCGTGAATGGACACAATTTAGGAAGATACTGGCCATTAGTTGGACCTCAAGTGACTCTCTACGTCCCGGCTACCTTTTTAAGGACTGGTGAAAACGAATTAGTATTGGTAGAATTGGAATACATCCCACTTAACAAGAAAATCAAGCTACAGAAAGAACCGATTCTGGATTACACTAAATCACAATATGAACAATATGTTTAATTTCAATCACCACTTTCACGAATAATAAAATCAGATTTTAATTTTCTTTCCTCAAAAGACTTGATGAATTGTATTTCTCTTACGGGACGTCATGTGTATGCAAAAAATAAATTTTACTTATGGTTACTATATGATTATTATTGCACTGTTGTTACTCATTAATTATAATACGACTATAGTTAAAGAAGTAATACATATAATACGGTGGGTATAATTAAGTAATTAGCTTATACATTAGGAATAGCGTACAGGTATCCAAGAAGTCCAACGACCAGCAGAACAAAACTGTAAGTATCTGCTATTATCCTCAGGAGTGTACGCGGTCATCATCGACGTCTTACTTTCTACGTTTGAAGAAATACCGTTCCTGATTGGAAGATCGTGACCATGATATCGCTCGTGTAGTTGCAAACTACTAATTATAGTAAATTGCTTGTTGCATACTTTACAACAATACGGTCGACTTCCTAAAAAT